AAAGACAGTTTTTTAAAAAAATAACTAATAACCGTGGGGGTTTTTAATTGTCTGGGGATTTTAAATTGACTAATTTTACTATTTGGATTGTTGTGTTGTTTTTATTTTGTGAGCCGCCCCGAGTCCTATGGGGGAAGGGCGGCATATAAATTTGAAAAATAAATAAAAAATAAATAAATATTGCCCTGACTAATTTTTCTGTTTATGTTTAGGTGGTGCCTTATTCAAGATGTACAGAAAGTTGCTCCCCAGGTTATGTCAAGCTTGTGAGAGAGGGAGCCCCAGTTTGCTGCTATGACTGTTCTCTGTGTATGGAAGGAACATTCTCTGGGCAAGAAGGTACAGTAGGTGGCTTCAAAAATAACCCCCCCAAAATAAAGATACAATCAATATTCTATCTTGTTTTTTTTGGGGGGGGGGTTGGTGTATTTGATGAAGAAGAAAGAAAAACATTAAATTTCTTAATCCACAAACTACAAAGATTGGGCACTATTGCCAAATTTGGATGATGTGAGCATTAAAATATATAATGAAAGATTGCTGACTTCTATTGAGTTGTTACTTTCTTGCTTGGTTTTGGGAAAGAAGATTTGAGAACTGATAATCACTTTCATCTTCATTCATTCATCTTTAAAAAGAGTGTTAACTAATGTAGTATCGCATGGATATCCCTGGGCAGAAATATTATATTATTCTTTGAAAATGAAGTAATTGATTTCTGATGTGGTTTTCATGCTCCTACAGCTGCAGAAACAGATTCATGCTAACCATTTTTTTTCTCAGGTGCAGCCCATTGTGAAAAGTGTCCAGATGACCAGTATTCCAATAAGAAGCGAGATCAGTGTGTTCCCAAAAATATAAGCTTCTTATCATATCAAGAATTGTTGGGACTCATCCTGGCTTTCTTTGCCATCGCTTTGTCCCTAACCACCGCCTTTATTCTGGGAATCTTCATGAAATACCGAGACACTCCCATAGTCAAAGCCAACAACTGTGAACTCACCTACATCCTCCTGGTTTCACTCCTGCTTTCTTTCTTGACCTCCCTTCTATTCATCGGTCGCCCCGTGAAAATGACCTGTCTCCTCCGACAAACCATTTTCAGTGTTGTTTTCTCAGTTGCTGTGTCTTCCTTGCTGGCCAAGACTGTCATGGTGGTGGTGGCCTTTCTGGCCACAAAGCCAGGCAGCAGCATGAGGAAATGGCTGGGGAAGAGTCTGGCCAACTCTATTGTTTTATCCTGCTCTGGTATTCAAGTAGGCCTCTGTATGATGTGGCTGGGAGTCTTTCCCCCATTCCCAGATTCTGACTTTCATTCCCAACCAGAACACATCCTGCTGCAGTGCAATGAAGGCTCTGTCACCATGTTCTACTCTGCTCTTGGCTACATGGGCTTTTTGGCTGCCATCTGTTTCTTGGTGGCATTTCTGGCTCGAAATCTGCCAGGGGCTTTTAACGAAGCCAAACTGATCACCTTCAGCATGTTGGTATTTTGTAGCGTTTGGATCTCCTTTGTTCCCACTTATCTGAGCACCAAGGGGAAATACATGGTAGCTGTGCAGATCTTCTCCATCCTGGCCTCTGGCCTGGGTTTACTGGGCTGCATCTTTATCCCCAAATGCTACATTATTATCCTGAGACCTGACATGAACACCAAAGAACATCTGATGATAAAAAATCATTAAGTCTCCTTTTGCTGGTGTTTATTTTTGTACAGTTTACATGCAGCATACAATCACATACTTCGAAGTAATATTTTATATGTTGTCGCTTATCTTTCTTCATTCCATGTGAACTTTGAATTATAGTAATTGAGTAGTAAAGTTCCTTTAAAAAACTCAAACTATTTGAAGTAATCATATCCTTCAACTGTCCTAATCTGAATTCATATTATGACATTAATAAAATTTCTAAGGCCAGGCCAGACAAACTGTGACCAGAGATGTTCTGATATGGTTTTGGTTTAAATTAAAGACTATGGCTAATGATGATGTGTGTTTTTGTTACTATATAGGTTGGTGTGCTGGTGTTATATTTTATTTTCTGGAGTGATGTTCTGACTTTGTTTTAAAAAGTAGTTAATATTAAATACTGTATATAGTTGATCTCTTCTGGCTCGATAATGTAAGATCATTCATAGTTAGGTAAATGAGATAGATAAATGAGAGAGAGAGATGGGTGGGAGAGATCAAGAAAGATAAAAACAGAGAGACAGATAACATTCTATATATTAAGAATAGATAAAATATCGACATGAACATTGGAGCAACTTTAATTTTTTTCTCCGTCCCTTTGAATCAATTAATGAGACAAATTATTGTTTTTGACAGTCTTCAATCAAAAGAAAAAATATGTACAACTCTGAATGATTTGGGGGGAGAAATCATGTAGACATGATGTGACAATGAAGATGTGCTTATGAAACACCGGAAAAGACACCTGGAGAGCGGTTGGAGGACCAGCCGTTCCGAATCTGACTGAACACTGGTGAGGTCTCATATTAAAACTTACCTAGTGGTGATAAAAGCGGCAAAATCTAGCTATTTTTCCACTCTTATTGCATTGTCAGATAATCGCCCAGCCACCCTGTTTAGGGTGACCCGCTCCCTCCTCCATCTGGGAGTGCGGGATGACCCCTTGCAGTATTGAGCTGAGGATTTTGTGCAGTATCTGTATGATAAAATCGCTCAGATTCGGGAAGGTCTGGCCACTGACTGGGTAAGTCCGGATGGGATGATTGAGGCATGATTGAGAGTGTTATCTGGGAGGAGTTTGATCCTGTGGCTACCAAGGACGTGGACAGGATCCTGGGACGGCTGAACGCGACCACATGTTTATTGGACCCGTGTCCCTCCTGGTTGGTGCTGGCTTCCCGGGAGGTTACACAAGGTTGGCTCCAGAGGATTATTAACGCTTCTTTGAGTGAGGGTGTCCTGCTGGCCGCCTTGAAAGAAGCAGTGGTGAGGCCCCTCCTCAAGAAGTCCTCTCTGGATCCGGCTGTTTTGGCTAACTATCGTCCAGTCTCCAACCTTCGTTTTATTGCAAAGGTTGTTGAGAGTGTGGTGGCGTGGCAGCTGCCACAGTACCTGGATGAAGCTGTCTATCTAGATCTGCTCCAGTCCGGCTTCAGGCCTGGGCACAGCACGGAAAGGGCATTGGTCGCATTGGTGGATGATCTCTGGAGGGCTTGGGATAGGGGTTGCTCCTCTATCCTGGTCCTATTAGATCTCTCAGCGGCTTTTGATACCATCGACCATGGTATCATGTTGCACCGATTGGAGGGGTTGGGGTTGGGGGCACTGTTCTGCGGTGGTTCTCCTCCTACCTCTCTGACCGGTCGCAATCTGTATTGACAGGGGGGCAGCGGTCAACCCTGAGGCGCCTTGTTTGTGGGGTACCGCAAGGGTCAGTCCTCTCACCCCTTCTGTTCAACATTTATTGTAAAGCCGCTGGGTGAGATCATCCATGGCTTTGGGGTGGAGTTCCATCAGTACACTGATGACACTCAGCTGTACATCTCCACCCCAGGCCACCCCAACGATGCCCTTGAAGTGATGTCCTGGTGCCTGGAGGTGGTGCAGGCCTGGATGGGGAGAAACAGGCTCTGACTTAACACTTCCAAGACCAAGTGGCTGTGGCTTCCGGCGTCCCGATATAGCCAGCTGGTGCCATTGCTGGTTATTGGGGGCGAATCACTGGCTCCCACGGAGAGGGCTCTCAACTTGGGCATCCTCCTGGATGCACAGCTGTCTTTAGAAGAGCATATGATGGCCATGGCCAGGGGGGTTTTTTATCAGGTCCGCCTGATACGCCAGTTGTGTCCCTTTCTGGATCGGGACTCCCTATGCACGGTCACTCAGGCACTAGTCACTTCCCGCCTGGACTACTGCAATGCTCTCTACATGGGGCTCCCCTTGGGGTGCACCCGGAGGCTCCAGCTGGTCCAGAATGCGGCCGCACGGGTGATTATGGGAGCAACGGGGCGCTCCCATGTGACACCTCTCCTGCGCGAGCTGCACTGACTCCCGGTGGTCTTCCGGGTGCGCTTCAAGGTGTTGGTGACCACCTTTAAAGCGCTCCATGGCTTAGGGCCCAGGTATCTACAAGACCACCTTCTGCCGCCAATAGCCTCCCACCGACCGGTACGCTCGCACAGAGAGGGCCTCCTTAGTGTGCTGTCCGCCAGACAATGTCAGCTGGTGACCCCCAGGGGGAGAGCCTTCTCTGTGGCGGCACCCGCCCTCTGGAACGACCTACCCCCAGAGATAGGCATGAAACCAGACCTCCGGAATTTTCGTCGGGCCCTGAAAATTCATTTATTTCACCTAGCCGGGCTGGCTTGATCCCATCCGTTTGGTTTCAATTTGAAATTGATTTTAATTGGGTTGTTTTAAATTGTGGGCCGAAATTATTTAATTATCTTTTAAACTGTTTTTTAAATTTTGTATGTTCTGTTTTATCTCGGCTGTTCACCGCCCTGAGTCCTGCTGGAGAAGGGTGGTATAAAAATCAAATCAAATAAATAAATAAAAATAAATAAAGTGGTTGTTAGAAGAAATCATTAGGGCAGAGAACTGGTTGTTAAATTACTTGAATCCCACCACTGATCTAACCTTCACTGAAGAAGATGGCGTCATCCACACCAGACAAAATAAGACAGAATTATAATGGCCCACTGCCTATTTCAAAAGTGTTGAACTGTTTTTTCACATTTAAATCTTTACAATCTCAAGAATAAGTTTGGAGACTAAAAAACAATCAAACTTCCCTGAATTGTTCCTTTCTCAATTCTCAAATTAGGATTATTCTCCTGAGTCAAAGAAAACTCTTTTCTCCAACAGCACACTTTGATGGCCAAGGCTCGTTCCCAATTCCCCTTCTAATTGTTAAAATCATGATTATTTATTCTCCTTTGAACAAGGTTTATGGGATTTACACCACCACAATTACTGGCCAATCAATGTGACAACAAATGGGTTAGACAGCATGTGATAATCTGATTTGTAACAGCCTCCTGTGATGAGATCAGAGTTTGGAGAAAAGCTGGGCAAATACTCTAGCAGTCTGAAATTGCAGATAGCTCTTCCAAATCTGGGGGCAAACTGGACTTTCTTCACTATAGTTGTAGTCTTTTTGTGATCTCTGAGATTTAGCTCTGTGCTGAAGAAAAAACTCTAGGAAGGATCTCCTGCAGTATACTGTATGTCAAATGTTGCTGCTGCTGCAAATACAGCTTTTTCTGCTTCAGTTTCTGTCTCAAATTCCCTGTGCCAGTACACTGATGAAATGTCCATTTAAGGTGATCATAGAAGAAAAGGAGTGGTTCCATTACTACAAGCCAGGAGACTACTGGATTACGGGAATAATGTCTGGAATCTTAGCTCGATTGTATCAATTTTCATTCTCCAAGCCTCCAACCCACCAACTGAAAAGGTAATTGTCAGCTCGTCCAAGGGTTCTGGTGATTGATTTTACCTGCTCCAATGTCTTTTCTTTTTATATATACATTGTATATATATAATTTTTTAAATTAAAATTTACCACCATATTTGTTATTTGTGTCTATTCTTATATTACTACTAATATTTAACATACCTACTCTTATAACATTTCTCTTCTTAATTTATTTGCCTTTATAATACTTTGCTTTCATATTTATTCTCCACCCATTGATAGAATAACTCCCATATATTGTAATAATCAGATTCTTCCTTTCCTTTGATTGCAAGTGTTAATCTATTCATTTCTGCACATTCTAATATTTTCTTAATCATATTTTCATTCTTAGGGATCTCTTCACTTTTCCAATTTTGTGCAAATACAATTCTAGCTGCAGTTATTACATGAATAATCAAGTATTTTCTTTACTATAAGCTTCTGGTAGAATACAGAACAGGAATAGTCCAGGTTTTAAATCGATATGTTCCTGCGTCATCTTCTCCAACCACAAACCTCCAATGTCTTTTCTAGAAATGATTTCCTTTCCCCTATTCCTCATCTTGAAAAAGGCAAGTCATTATTGGTCATCCCAATTTGCTTTAGAGGAAAGGCTCCTGGGGATAATTTTGTAAAACCTGAGTTTGCAAAGTTTCTTTTTAAGTTCTTCCACAAGTGTCAGCCTCAACACTGGGCAACACTGGGCACTGCCAACACTGTCCCACAATGAATCTTGCCTGGATGGGTTCTGCCTGCTTACATAGGTACTGTGGAGAGTCAACAACTTATTTATTCATATTTATTTTGTTTATTTATTAACAATAGTTAAACAGTAACTCCCAATAAAGTGATTGAATGACACCTTAGAACAGAGTGAGATCTCTGGTATTTCCTCCCCATTGTTTCTTTCCCTTCCTTACATTTACTCTATAATTCCTACCACCCTCTCCACTCTTTCTTTCCACCCTTTAACACTTTTGCAGCTTCCCTGTTCCTTTTGGTTTAAATAAAAGGGATACTTTTTAAAAACCAAATTCAAGGAGGGGAGAGACTTTATGTGATAAGTTAATGTTTAGTCGCAGAGGAATCACATTAACTGTTGTTAACTGTAGAATATAGGACAATCACTCTAAAGCCATGAATGTTGTTGTTGTTAGTTGCAAAGTTGTGTCCAGCCCATTGCGACCCCATGAACAACATTCCTCCAGGCCTTCCTGTCCTCTACCATCCTCTGGAGTCCATTTAATCTCATTCCTACTGCTTCAGTGACTCCATCCAGCCACCTCATTCTCTGCCATCCCCTTCTTCTTTTGCTCTCAATCGTTCCCAGCATTAGGCTCTTCTCCAGTGAGTCCTTCCTTCTCATTAGATGGCCAAAGTATTTGGGTTTCATCTTCAGGATCTGGCCTTCTGAAGAGCAGTCAGGGTTGATCTCCTCTAGGACTGACCGGTTTGAACACCTTGCAGTCCAAGGGACTCACAGGAGTCTTTTCCAGCACCATAGTTCAAAGGCCTCAAATCTTTGGTGCTCAGCCTTCCTTATGGTCCACCTTTCACAGCCACACATAGCAACTGGGTATTCCTATACTTGGTAGCATCCCTTATTAGCATTCTTAGGGACTGGGAAGATACAGATCTTCCCCCAAGCATTTGGTTAGGATGGAGGTTGCGAGCAATGAGCATATTTAGTCTGGTGCCTGGGGGTAAGGGTAATTTAATTACATTTTATGGATTGTTGTGAATTGATATGAGTGATATATTAGCTTTGCAAATAAGTAAGTATATAAAATAAATGCTTTGGTTTTGCAAAAAGTTTATTCTAAACTTTTTTACAATAGTAAGTAATATTCCCGTCTGGACTACTGTACCGCTCTCTACATGGGGCTCCCCTTGAAGAGCACCTGGAGGCTCCAGCTGGTCCAGAATGCGGCCGCATGGGTGATTATGGGGGTGACTCGGTGCTCCCATGTAACACCGTTCCTGCGTGACCTGCACTGGCTCCCGGTGGTCTTCTGGGTGCGATTCAAGGTGTTGGTCGCCACCTTTAAAGCGCTCCATGGCATAGGACCTGGTTACCTATGAGACCGCCTTCTGCCTCCGATAGCCTCCCACCGACCAGTACGCTCCCACAGAGAGGGTCTCCTCAGGGTGCCGTCAGTTAGACAGTGTCGACTGGCGACGCCCAGGGGGAGAGCCTTCTCTGTGGGGGTACCTACCCTCTGGAACAAGCTGCCCCCGGAGATTCGTCTGATTCCTGACCTTCATACCTTTCGCCGCGCCCTTAAAACACTATTATTCCATCAAGCAGGGCTGGCCTAAAATATTATTTTTAATGGGTTATTTTATGTTATTTTAGATTGTGGGCCAAACTATTTAATAATTTTAAATTGTTTTTAACTTTTATATTGTTGGTTTTTTATCTTGGCTGTACACCGCCCTGAGTCCTTTGGGAGAAGGGCGGTATATAAATTTAATAAAACTAAACTAAACTAAACTAAGAAACAGTTACAATAGTAAGAAACCTTCACACTTTCTTTGTGAGTAGAAGAAGGTGTGGAGGTTTCATACCATTGTAACCATTTATCTTACCTGGCTCCTGAACTGTAAGAATAATTGTCCTCATTTCTTCCTCCCAAGTCATAATGTAGAGAAAAAAATAGGCAGAATCAGTTCTGGTGATTTTGATAGGATTCCTTTGATCCTGACATAACAAAGTTTGCTATCTCTCTCTGATATTTCTTTTGGCAAGAAGCTCCTAGTGTTGTCAATGAGACTGTTGTTCTCATAGAAATTTCAAAAATGCCTATCACTTGCAAAGTTCAAATAAATTGAATGATTTAATTGAAATGTCAACTCGCAAAGCATCCCTGGCTTGCTCTTGAGTTGCCATAGGCCAGGGGGATGGGAAACCAACAAAACAGCATGGCAGCCAAAGACAGATGCACATTCCAGACTTATCTCTCTGAAGGCTCTATCTCAGGGTTACCACAGCAGCCTGAGAGGAGTGATTTCTACAACCCGCAAAATTGCTCTGTTGGTGAATGTGATTGATGACACATCCTGGGGGGAGAAACAGGGTCATGATTGGGGCGTAAATTATGTGGGGTCAGAGTTGGCTTCACTTGGGAATGTGCCGACATGAAGCTCCTAATAAATAACTGGATTTCTTTTGAAGCTTGGCTTAAGGTTCATGATTTAATTAGGGCATCCGTCGGAACCCTGACATGAATAATGAGAAGTTGATTATATTTTGGCATTGCACTATATAGATATAAAGCTACAGTAAATATGACATGCTTTCATGAACATCCAAACTGAAGATTTATTTATTCCTTTATTGGAACAAGATTAAGAGAATAAAAATACAATGACAGAGATGATAGCAGTGGTGACATTCAAATTATTTTTACTACCGGTTCTGTGGGCATGGCTTGGTGGGCATGGCTTGGTGGACCCAGCTTGTTTGGCATGGCAGGGGAAGGATACCGCAAAATTTCCATTCCCACCCTACTCCATAGGAAGGATATTGCAAAATCCCCATTCCGACCCCACTCTGGGGCCAGCCAGAGGTGGTATTTGCCAGTTCTCTGAACTACTCAAAATTTCCACTACCGGTTCTCCAGAACGGTAGTTATCAATAATGGAAGCTTTAATACACCCAAATGTTTTTAATTTTGGAAATTTTGTTAGATACAAGGATTTGTTAACAGATAAGGGGGAATTGAAAGAGAAATGAGAACTGGAAGAACAGGGGATTGAGATAGATTGATATATGTATATGCAGATAAGAACAAGATATGAAAAAGATGCTAAATTACATGGTTTTTATTTGAAAAGACTGAGTTAGATAGGATACTCACAGGGACAGAAGAAAATTTAATTAAAAAAGTTTATAATTTTTTGTTATATATTGAATTGGAGGAGGAACAGGTGAAACAAACAATGATAGCTTGGAGAAGAAATTTTGGACATTCAATTGATCTTAAAAAATGGCAACAACTATGGGAAAGGAATTATAAATTAATGATGTCCACCACATACAAGGAAAACCAATATAAAATGTTTTATAGATGGTATATGCCACCAGAGAAGTTAGCAAAAATGTTTAAAGATAAATCAGCAAAATGTTGGAAATGTCACCAACTACCAGGATCTTATTATCATATGTGGTGGACATGTCCTGAAGCAAAAAATTATTGGAATAAAATTAAAATTTGGCTGAAAGAAATGAAACAAATACGTATTGAATTTAAACCAGAGCTGTTCCTATTGGGTATCCTACCAGATAAAATTAAAAAGGAATAAATTTATTTGATTATACATGTAATAGCAGCTGCAAGAATTTTTTATGACAGTGGTGGGTTCCTCCCGGTTCAGCTGAGCCGGTAGCGGTGACGATATGATGTCACCGAACCGGTTCTCTTTGTTCAGGAGGTGGGCCCTCCAACCCTCCCTCCATGTTATTCTTACATTTTATTTGGCCCCACCCCCAATCTATTCGCTGCCTCCCAAGCCCCAGCTGATTGGGTAGAAGGAAAAAAAACTATTTAAACTCTCGCCACGGGGCTTCAAAGGGCCGCCCTACAGCTGATCAGTGTTAAAAGGCAGTGTGGTGGTAGACCAGTGCGCTTGAAAAACAAATGGGTAGACCGGTGCCTCCAAAAACAAATGAGTAGACCGATGCCTCCAAAAATAAATGGGTAGACCGGTGCCTCCAAAAACAAATGGGTAGACCGGAACGCTCCAAGAACAAATGGGTAGATTGGTACAGCTCTGCAAGCAGTTAAAAGCCTGGTAGACCAGTACCTCTGCTAAATCCTAAAGATTTGTCACATGAAACTACACCATGAAACCACACCCACAAAATAAGCCACGCCCACAGAACCAGTAGTAAAAAATTTTAGAACCCCTGGTTTATGCTCAAAATTGGAAAAAAGAGAAAATACCTGTGGAAGAAGAAGTAATAAAAAAGATTTTAGATTGTGCAGAAAAGAATCGATTAACCTTGTTGATTAAAGATAGGAAAGAATCAGAATATTTTAGAACATGGAATTATTTTTATTGTTGGTTGGAAAGGAGATATAAATGATTAATTTTACAACTATGTATAAAAATTTGATTGTAAGAATATGTCTACAGGAATGAACTTTTACAGTGGATTGAATGATGATTAAGATAGAAGAAACTGATGGAACAAGAAGAACAAAAAGAAAAGTAGAAGTCAACACAGAAATGTCATAGGAGAGGGACGACTGATTTTTTAAATGTTTATTTGTTTTATAAAAAAAAATTAAAAAAATGTACAAAAAAAATATTCCACTAACAGTTCTCCAGAACCTGTCAGAACCTGCTGAATTTTACCCCTGGACGATAGGTACATTAGTGCACTTATGCACGCTCCCTCTACTGACCACTTAAGTATGAAGTAATGTCCATGGAAGTCAATTTGTGACTGAAACTGTGAAAATTTGTAGCTGAGACAACTGAATCAGGTGGAGCATTCCAGACTTTGACAACTCTATTACAGAAATCATATTTTTACAGTCAAGTTTAGAACGATTTACATGGAGTTTAAAGCAGTTGTTCACGGACATATTATTGCAATTAAAACAGAAAAAGTCATTTATAGGTAAAACATTATTACGTTTAATTTTGTATTCAATACCTAGGCCTGACCACAAGTGACACAGTTCTAAGTTATCCAAATCGAGAATTTAGAGCTTAGAAGCATAGGGAATTCTATTGTGTACAGAAGAGTGCAAGACTTTTCTCATGAACTGCTTCTGAACTCGCTCAATTGTACTGATGTCAGATATAATGGTGGGGATTCCAAACAGTTGAACAATACTCTAAGATTGGTCTAGCATAGGTTTTATAAGCTCTAATTAGCAATAACATGTTTCCAGAAAAAAAAGCTTCACCAAATTAACCTTACAATTCTTAATGCTTTTTTAGCAATGCTGTTACAGTGAGCTTTGGAACATAAATCATCTGAGATACGTACAGATAAGGTCCTTAACAAGGTGAGGATTATCTGCTATATCTATCCCACCTACCTTATACTTGACATTCCGATTACATTTACCAATATGTAAGACAGAGCATTTATTAATTTAAATTTGACCATTCAGACACATAGTCGAGATCACTTTGCAAAAACACAGAATTATCTGTAGAATTGAATAATTTTACATCATCGGCAAAAAGAACGCAATTGCTTTTAAGTTGATCACATAAACCGTTGATAAAGAGCAAAAAAACATGATGAAATTGTTTATATTGCAGTGAGAATACCTTCTACAACATTCTGCCCTTCTTGTTAGCTGTTCACGAAGTCAACCAGAATTCAAGGCTCTTACCCAACATCACCCTGGGCTACAACATCTATGAGAACTTTTTCAGTGCAAGAATGACATATGAGGCCATGCTGGATGTGCTGTCTACAGGACAGGAGAACATCCCAAACTACAGATGTGGAAGACAAAAGAACCTGCTGGCGATTCTTGAAGAGATGGATTCTGAACTCTTTGATCACATTTCCAATGTCTTGAGCATCTATAAATTTCCTCAGGTATAAAGCCAAATGAAATAAATTCCATGTTGTAAAGTGTTCAGATTTGCCTAGCAGCCAGCACTTGTATATATTTCTCCAAATAAATTGAAAGTCAGAGAGTAAATATTAGAAGAGCTAAAAGAATTTTTAATTCACAAATTATGTGTTTCTGTAAATATATGTATGTGTGTGTGTGTGTCTCTGTGTGTATGTGTGTGTTTCTCTATATACATACAGTGGTGGGATGCTGCCAGTTTGGACAAAGAAAGTTCCAGCAATCAGTTGTCCCTGCCCACCTGCCCACCTGCCCCCACCCTATCCTGTCCTATATTTCCATGTTTCTCAGCTCATCTGATTTGTGTGGCATTGTGGATTTCCATGCCTCAGCTGTTTTACTTACCGGGGCTGCCCTAGAAGGTAAGTTATAGAGCTTGAAATTGGTGTATTTTGAATGCTGCACACGTGCACAAAGCATGCTCTCACAGAAACACACACACACAAATATGTGGTTGGACTAGAAGACTTTCCAGCTCTATTCTGATTGACTAATTGACTGAGTGGATGGGTGACCAACAGAGTTCTAATGTGACCAGAAGGGTGTGCTCTATGAGGACCACCAATGAACATCACCCACAGATAATTCAGACCTCCCTGATTTCAAAGGCAGCATACAAGACAACAGGACAAAACATCAAGGGATATAGCAAAATTCATGCAGTTATCATTTGAAACGTCCCTCAGCAGTGTGGAAAGGCCCTTAGATTTACCATCTGATTTTTATCATTAAAATGGGCACAAACTACTGTTGGCAGAAATATCCTTCTGGGTTCAGTTCCAAGGTGGGGGGAAAGACGCAGGATTCAAGGAAGTTGCTTGGAAAGATGGTTTTAATGGTGGACAGGATCACAAGGATGAAGAAAAAAGGGAAGAGATGCTGAGAGTGACTGAGTTTTATGCCCTCTCTGGCTTTTGAATTTGAGCTTGTATTCTGATTGGTTGTCAGACTCCCTTGGGGCCATACAGGGGCAACTCTGTAGGCTGTGTTTTGAATTCAAGTTTAGTTGAGTCTTGCTGGATGGTGATGTACTGAAAGGGCTTTGGAATTGCTATTATGGTTCTGCCTGAAGCAAGTAGATCTTTGTTATGTAGAATAGACTGGCTCAGGCCTTAATGGCCCATTGACAAAGGTGGAGGGGCTGAGTTTCTGCCTCCCTTTCAGGGGAAATATTCTGCCCTTTTAATGTTTCCTAAAATATCTAAATGGGACATGGTGGCTCAGTGGCTAAGATGCTAAGCTTGTCAATTGAAACATCGGCAGTTCAGCAGTTCGAATCCCTAGTGCTGCATAATGCGGTAGCTCCCGTTACTTGTCCCAGCTTCTCCCAACCAAAAAAATAGGGACCACCTTTGGTGGGAAGGTAACAGCGTTCCATGCGCCTTTGGCATTTAGTCATGCCAGCCCAATGACCACGGAGACGTCTTCGGACAGTGCTGACTCTTTGGCTTTGAAACGGAGATGAGAACCGCCCCCTAGTGTCGGGAACAACTAGCACTATAGGGGAGGGGAAACTATACTGTTACCTAAAATATCTCATTTTCCTAGGACAGGGTGGGTGCTAACTTCCTACATGACTAATACCTTCTCTTTTATCTTAGATCAACTATAGTGTCATCAACCAGATGGCTGAGCAAAATTATCATTTTCCTTTTTCATATCGGATGACCCCAAACCAAGAACCTCCTTACTCAGCTATTGTCCAGCTGCTCCTGCAGTTCCAATGGACGTGGATCGGCCTCCTTTCTCGGGATAATGAAAGAGGAGAAAAATTCAAAAGACGTTTGGAAGTTCTCGCTCTAAAAAACGGGATTTGCATTGTCCTCTCAGGAACTGTCCCAGAAGGAAATATGCAGACAAGTGCTGGAGAATCTCTCATACAAGAAAAAAGAAAAATGTTCCATTCTCTTATCAAGAGTCAAATAAAAATTATAGTATGCCAACTGGATTTTCAGGCCTCAGGAATGTTAGCAGCAATAATACAAGCAATTGATACGACTAATACATCCATTGTGGGAAGGGTGTGGATTGCAACAACTTTGACAGCTTTAAGTGTAGGTATTTTTGACCTCTGGGTTGACCTCCAAAATAAATATGCTTTGTTTTCTTTCCTCATCCAGACAAAGAGAAGGACTCAGTATTATGACATTAAATCTTATGCATCTATGGTCATATTGTATGGAAAGGAAGCATTCCAATGTTCTTATTCAAGTCCTTTGTTATCTAAGAAAGTTTGGAAAAAATGCAGAGAAAAAGAGAATTGGGAATTCCCACCCCATGATGTGATTGAAAGAATCCTCTCTCAGGATTCCTCCAGTATTTCTCAAATAATTCAAATTGTGGCCTGGGTCCTCAGTGCTGCCTCTTCCTCCCAACAGAGTAAGAGGAGAATGCAAGTTGGAGAACATCAACCACCCCAGATTGTACAGCCATGGCAGGTAAGTCTTCAATATTAAATTAGTTGTAGGATATTCCAAAGAGCAGTTGCCCAGTTTGTGGTATTTGAGAATGAGTGTCAGTGCTGAATCTGACCTGACCGAGGCCATTTTGATGCTTCAGTGTTGCCACATTGGAGCTGAGGAATAGAGAGGGAGGGGAGGAATAGAGATAGCTTGAGTTTTGTAGCCAAAACAAAATACTTTCTCCTGGGAACCAAGGACATTCCTACCGATGGCCAGAGGGAGGATGAGTGAAGTCACCAGGCAACCGGATGACACCTTGATTGGACCATGTGACTGATTGTTTGGAAAGGGGAGGAAAACTTTTACTTTTAATTAGGAGAAAACTGTGGGAATATTTAGAGTCAGTTTTCACCAGCCTATGCCTATATGTTATGTCCAATAAATCTGATATTTGATGAACCTGCTTGCCCCAGAGTCTTGTTTGCTATGGGCGTATTACTTGGAACCCTGACATTAAACCGACTCCAAATGGTTTTTTTTTCCAACTTTTTTTTCTTTTTTTAACATTTTTTTTACAAACATATCAATGCGTGAACAATGTGGCACCTGAGTTACTTACATTCTGGTGCAAATAAAATAATATTCAACATATTTACTACAGTTGACAAGCTAATATAGTTTGTTATTTAACATAAATATGTGTATATAAATATACACATATTTATGTTAAATTATAATCTTCCATTATTTTATTATTCAATATTTCAATATGTTATTTTTGTGCCAATCACCATATTATTCCGACATTTTTAATACTACCATCGTTCACGTTCTGATTTCCCCTCTTATTATTACTTCACCTTATTATATAAAGATGTATATTCCATTAATTCCCCTCTCTCTAGTTTCCGTCCCCTTTCTAACTTTTAATTTTGCCACTATTATATTGAAAAATATTCATATTTCATCCATATTTTAGTGAAGATTTAGAGTCAGTTTTCAGCAGCCTATGCCTATATGATACGTCCAATAAAACTGATATTTGAGAAACCTACTTGCCTCAGAGTCCTGGTTGCTCTGGGCATATTACTTGGAACCCTGACGATGAGTTAGAGAGAGATGATAGAGAAAAACCTTCCAAAGTTATGGTGACAACGTAATTTTCAAAACTAACAAGGAACAGAATATTCAAGCAATCCTCAACCTTTTATTGTGATCACAAAATGATCTCTAAACTAAGGAGTTCAGCTGGATTGTTTGTTCTGGATTAAGATTGAATTTTGCTGGCTAAAAGTTTCTAACATAGCAACAAGATATAAATCAAAGCATCTTCTGGGGGCAACAAAAGGTTCATCCATACATCTCCTGAACTAATGGATATACTTCCATAGCTGTTCTTTGAAAGAGATAACATCACTATGCAACTTTTGTTACATTCCTAGCCCAAAGTTAAACTTCGCTAACTTCATCTTGATCAGGACTGATGGCAAAATTGTATTCTCCATCTTCTCCCATTAAGAGTTTTCCCATGTCTGCCAGTGGTCTTGCCTCTGATGGGCTGTGATGGTGAAGCAGCAAAACATAGAACATAAAACATAGAATAATAAGAGTTTGAAAGGACCTCAGAGGTTTCTAGTCCAACCCACTAATCAAGCAGGAGACCTTATATCCATGATGGCCTCCCGCCGGCCACCTGATTTTTGGGATGTGCAGGATGTGGGTGATGTGTGAGTATGCATGGGGGTTGCATGCAGATGCGTGGGGGGTGGGGGAACACAGGGGGGGTGCAGCACACGCTTTCCAGAAGTGTGGAAATGGCCCCTTTTTCAACCTAAGGGGGGGCTTCCAGCTTGTCTTCGGGGGTGTTGGCTATTCCTGCCAGCTTAGTGTTGTCTGCAAATTTGATGAGTTCCCCTTCAATACCCTCGCCTAGATCTTTTTTGAAGATATTGAAGAGTGCTGGGCCTAAAATGGAAGCGTGGGGTACCCCATTGTTTATTTCTCTCCATGTGGATGAGGTTCCCCAGAGGATTACATGTTGAATATAATTTGTCAGACAGTTACAAAGCCACCTGATGGTGATGGTGTTATCTATTCCATGTTTTCAAGATAAGTGAGATAAATATTTGAAAAAGGGCTGTAAATTCCTGGAGAATGTCTGAAAGAAGCTTCCCATGAAATGCTGAATTGATCTGTTTCAGACTGTAGTAGTGATTTGAAGAGGTTGAATTATTCAGAGTACCTCCAATCCAGATTATTAGCAAGAAAAACATTGAACAAAGGCTCAAATTGTCATGTTTTTTCTATGTTTCTGCAGCTTCATAAGTTCCTGAGAAACTTCCAACATCACAATATTTCCAGAGATGGAATTTCTTTTGATGAAAATGGAGTTCCTGTTGGTGACTTTGATATCATGCAGTGGACATCAGTTTTGAACAAATCAGATGCAGGGGTGAAAATTGGAAACGTAGAAAGACAAGCCTCCTCGAAAGTCAAGATATCTGTCAATCAAAGCACCATCCAATGGCCAACTTTATTTAACAAAGTAGTTGAGGCTGCTTGGATTTTGCTCTTCTATTTATCTCTATATGTGGGAATTTTTCTGCTCAGAAATAATTCTTATTGAGGCCAGTTGAGATAACTTCCAAATAAGAGAACTTAAAGCCTCATTAATTCATTAGATATGATTTTACTTTAGAGGTTTTACAATAATCTACCACACACTGGAACCTGCTGCATTGTATTGCGGGATTTCCAATCTACATTATTAAACTGGAATATGCTGCCATAATTTATAGTACATCAAATTATCTTGTTTTCAGTAAGAGAAAATCCAGAATATCTATGGAAATTCTCAGTCATCCAGGTCATGGTTGTGCCAAAGGTGCTTTTTCAAAAGGCACCTGGGCTTTGTTTTCCCTTGAAGATGTTTCACTTCTCATCCAAGAAGCTTCTTCAGTTCTGACTGAATAGTGGAGGATGGAAAGATTTCGAACTGCTGAAATGACTGTATTGTAAACAGGATATAAATATAGATTCAGCAATTGCAGGAAGATTCCACACCCATTTGCACTATTCACGTGACCCTGAGGGCACAGATAAATTCCAAGTGGCCTCAACAACTTTCAGAAAGACTGCTAATGACCAAATGACTGCAAGAAATACAAATCCTTCTATATTCCACCATTCAGTCAAAACTGAAGAAGCTTCTGGAATGAGAAGTGAAATGTCTTCAAGGAAAAACAAAGATCAGTTCTCTTTTGAAAAAGCACCTTTGGGAGAAAAATCCAGAATATGAAGGGTTTAGCCCGCTGAATTGCATAAGAGAAAGATATCACTAAGAATATGGTGAAGGAAATGAGGGCAGCTAAAAAAATCATTTACATATGATGATACAATGATCAATTGTAGGAGAAAAAGATAGGGACTCTAGGGAAAGCTAGATATTAGAGGTTTCCTGAGAAAGCAAAGATTGATAAAAAAAAAATACCGTATTTTTCGGAGTATAAAACACTCCAGAATAAAAGATGCATCTTAGTTTTGGGAGAGGAAAATAAGAAAAAAAAACTGCCTCTGTCTACCAGCATCCATCAGTATTCATCTGGCTAACATCCTGTCAGTGTGTGAGAGAGTTGAGGGCTTTGTGAAAACTGAAAAAGTATTTGCTGAGTGACCAACAAGGAAGGAGTGTGGGCATGGCTTAGGTCAATTGTTCTAAAGCTGTATGCTGTGCTGATCTCTGAAACTAAAACTGAAACTGAACCTCCTCTCCTCTGCTTGTGTTTTCCTTGCTGCTCAAACTCTGACAGTCCTTGCACAAACAGCCAGGTCAGCTTCAGCACATTATTGTAGCCTGATTCACCATGAGCAGCTGATTGGTGGATGGATTGGTCTCCCGGAATACCCACAATCAGCTGTTCCAGGCTGCAGGGATTTCCATAGACCATCACCTCCTCCGTGCCTCGCATTTTTTGTTACATTCGGTATATAAAACAGTACCAAATTTTCACCTGCTTTTAGGTGGGGGGGGGAAGTGCATCTTATAATCTGAAAAATACGGTAAGTTATATCATTCTTACACATGCCCTCAGGAGTAACACCTGTTGCAATGGAACTACATTCCTTTGGAAAAAAGAATAAGGCAATGAGTCTGTTTTGGGATCTACAATGGAGACTGTTAGAGAAAGAGAACGATCTTTCATTTGCCCCTTGCAAGTAGAGTAATTAAAGTTCATGCCACTACTTTTTGACTGATTTTGCTCTATGTGCTCCTGAGCTTCTGGAAGCCAGTTGAGTTCAGTAAATCCTTTTAATTGATATATCACCCTGACTATTCTTTCTGTTTATGTTTAGATGGTGCCTTCTTCTAGATGCACAGAAAGTTGCTCCCCAGGTTATGCCAAGCTTGTGAGAGAGGGAGCCCCAGTTTGCTGCTACGACTGTTCTCTGTGTATGGAAGGAACATTCTCTGAGCAAGAAGGTACAGTAGGTGACTCCAAAAAACAAATAAAAATCAAGGTACGATCAATATTCTATCTTGTTTTTTGGGTTGAAAGGTTGCTGATTTCTATTGAGTTGTTACTTTCTTGCTTGGCTGTGGGAAAGAGGACAAGTTTTGAGAGCTGATAATCACATTTATCTTCAGCCTTTAAAAAGACTGTTTGATTATTTTAACTAATTTTGTGTCATATAGATATCCCTGGGGAGCAACATTATATTATTCCTTGAAAATGAAGTAATTGATTTCTGATGCGGTTTTCATGCTTCTACAGCTCCACAAACAGATTCATGCTAACCATTTTTTTCTTAGATGCAGCCCATTGTGAAAAGTGTCCAGATGACCAGTATTCCAATAAGAAGCGAGATCAGTGTGTCCCCAAAAATATAAGCTTCTTATCCTACCAAGAATTGTTGGGACTCATCCTGGCTTTCTTTGCCATCGCTTTGTCCCTAATCACCACCTTTATTCTGGGAATCTTCATGAAATACCGAGACACTCCCATAGTCAAAGCCAACAACTGTGAACTCACCTACATCCTCCTGGTTTCACTCCTGCTTTCTTTCTTGACCTCCCTTCTATTCATCGGTCGCCCCGTGAAAATGACCTGTCTCCTTCGACAAACCATTTTCAGTATTGTTTTCTCAGTTGCTGTGTCTTCCTTGCTGGCCAAGACTGTCACGGTGGTGGTGGCCTTTCTGGCCACAAAGCCAGGCAGCAGCATGAGGAAATGGCTGGGGAAGAGTCTGGCCAACTCTATTGTTTTATCCTGCTCTGGTATTCAAGTAGGCCTCTGTATGATGTGGCTGGGAGTCTTTCCCCCATTCCCAGATTCTGACTTTCATTCCCAACCAGAACACATCCTGCTGCAGTGCAATGAAGGCTCTGTCACCATGTTCTACTCTGCTCTTGGCTACATGGGTTTTTTGGCTGCCGTCTGTTTCTTGGTGGCATTTCTGGCTCGAAATCTGCCAGGGGCTTTTAATGAAGCCAAACTGATCACCTTCAGCATGTTGGTTTTTTGTAGCGTTTGGATCTCCTTTGTTCCCACTTATCTGAGCACCAAGGGGAAATACATGGTAGCTGTGCAGATCTTCTCCATCCTGGCCTCTGGCCTAGGTTTACTGGGCTGCATCTTTATCCCCAAATGCTACATTATTATCCTGAGACCCGCCATGAACACCAAAGAATATCTGATGATAAAAAATCATTAAGTTTCTTTGTGTTGGTTTTTATTTTTGTAGTTTACATGCAGCATAAAATCACATACTTTGAAGTAATGTTTCATGTCTTGTCACTTATCTTTCTTCATTCCATGAGAATTTTGAATTGTAATAATTTAGTAGTAAAGTTGCTAAAACAACTCAAACTATGTGAAATAATGATATCTTTCAATTGTCATAATCTGAGTTCATATTATTACCTTAATAAAATTTCTAAGACCAGGCCAGATAAACTGTTACCAGAGATGTTCTGATATGGTTTTGGATTAAATTAAAGACTATGTCTAAGGATGATGTGTGTTTTTATTACTATATAGGTTGGTGTGCTGGTGTTATATTTTATTTTCTGGAGTGATGTTCTGACTTTGTTTTTTAAAAAATAGTTAATTTCAAATACTGTATATATTTGATTGTTCTCTTCTGGCTCGATGATGTAAGATCATTCATAGTTAGATAAATGGGATAGATAGATAGATAGATAGATAATCTGAGAGAGAGAGAGAGGAGAGATCAAGAAAGAGAAAAACAGAGAGACAGATAACATTCTATATATTAAGAATAGATAAAATATCTATCTCCAACATGAACATTGGAGTGACTTTAATTTTTTTCTCCATCCCTTTGAATAAATTAATTATTATTGTTGACAGTCTTCAATCAAAAGAAAAATATGTACAACTCTGAATGATTTGGAGAGGAAATCATGTAGACATGGTGTGACAATGAAGATGTGCTTATGGGTATTAAAATTGGTTCTTGTTTTTTCCATTTCCATATACTGTACATATAGTGTCTGTGTGTCTCTCTGTGTGTCCTGCCAACCTAGCAATTCAAAAGCATGTAAATGCAAGAAGATAAATAGGTACCACTTCAGTGGGAAAGTAACAATGTTTTTTGCATCTTCAGTGCATAGTCATGCCAGCCACATGACCATGGAAGTATCTTCAGATAAAGGCTCTTTATTTGTGAATCAAAGATGAGCACCGCCCCATGGATTGGTCATGACTGACAGGGGAAATCTTTACCTATACCCACCTATATCTTTACTAGCTTTATAAATAAAAATGTAAATGTCCGTTTGTACATAACCGCACATCTCCGAAAGTTCTTCACTGATTGCTTTCAAATTTTGACACAACATTTCATTCGACTACGGGCGTGTTTTTATATATACATGTCACACCTGTGACAGGTAAAAACATGAAAAACATTGGAAAACATTGAAAGACATTGACAAACATTGAAAAACATTGAAAAACAGCGCCATCTGCTGGACGTAAAACCAACATGGCAGCCCTGATTACACTCAACAGATTTCTGCTCCTTATATTTAGACTCTCCATATTGCTTCCAAGAAACTGTGCATTTGGAAGGCAGAGACACCCAAGGGCCATATCCTGCCACCAGGCTCGGCAGGTAGGCAGCCGGCTCCCCGCCGGGAAGCCCTCACAGCTGGCACTTCTAGGGCTGGCCGGGGCCCACCCGAGCCTGGCTCTGACCTCCCCCTCCCCCGGCCACCCCGCAAACTAGCCTCGCCCACCACTGCTGCCCATCCCTCTCACCAGCCGCTCTTGGGGCTCCCTCCAAAGAACACCTGGCAACGAGGCTGCCTGGGTCCACCGAGCGGGAACCCTCCATCCCTCGCCTGGCCCAAATCGTGCCTGGCCCAGCACTACCAAGGGCCCCAAAGTCAGAAAAACCAGCTGCTAACCGACGCTATGCGAATCCGGTCGGTGAGCAGGAGGTGGAGTCAACTGGAGCCTCGGGTCGCCTTTGACCAGCACCGCCTTTGATTCCCAGGTGGGCGCTCTAGCAGTTCATGGAGCCTACACAAAAATTTCACCCTCTGGCAGAAAAGGGGCTCTGGGGAGGCTTCGGGAGGTGGAAACGGGCAGGAGGGAAGATGGCCGGCCCTCCTTCATTTCACCTGGAAGAGCGGGGGATTTAATCATTCCACTGCCCTTGGCAGGCGGGGGAGGAGAACTGCGCAGCAGGGGTCCATGGGGCATGGTTCCTGGCTTTGCCGCTTTCTTCCTTTGGGCGGGAAGACCCAAACCAGCCTTGAACCCCCGCCGCACCCCCTCCCTCCCTCCCTTCCCTTCCCTGCTATGCGTCTCCCCATCGAGCCCCCAGAGAACATCTGTGTAAGGAGGATGGAGGGCCCCCCCCAAGTTTCTGCTGTGGTGCAGAGAGCTGAGAAGGCCTGGCCTGAAAAGGTAAGGGCGATGGCGGGGGATGCAGAAGAGACCGGGCCAGAGATAGAGATAAACAGAGAGAGACGGAGAGAGAGACATAGAGAAATACAGAGAGACGGGTGGGGGAGAGAGAGACACATACAGAGATACAGAAAGAGAGGGTGGGAGAGAGAGAGACAGAGAGAGGGTGGGAGAGAGAGAGAGACAGAGAGAGAAAAAGTATGAAGGCTATTGCTTAACGCATTGTAAGCCGCCCTGAGTCTCCGGAGAAGGACGGCATATAAATCAATTTTTTTAAAAAAAGATACAGAGAGGGTGGAGAGAGAGACATAGAGATACAGAGAGAGGGGGAGAAGAGACACATAGAGAGATACAGAGGGGGGGAGAGAGAGACATAGAGAGATACAGAGGGGAGAGAGAGAGACATAGAGAGATACAAAGAGAGGGAGAGAGAGAGAGACATAGAGAGATACAGAGGGGGGAGAGAGACAGAAAGAGATACAGGGGGAGAGAGAGACATAGAGATACAGAGAGAGGGGGAGAGAGAGAGACATAGAGAGATACAGAGGGGGGAGAGAGAGACATAGAGAGATATAGACGGGGGAGAGGGAGAGACATAGAGAGATACAAAGAGAGAGGGGGAGACAGAGAGGGAGGATTTTGTGGTTCCCATTGTTTTTTAGCAACCGGTTCTCTGCCCTAATCACCAGCTGGGTAGGCGTGGCTCGGGGTCTGTCATGTGACTGATTAAAGTGAGTGACATTGAGTTGGCCATGCCCACCAAATGTTCATGGAGAGTTTGGAACTTCAGCTTCACTCTTTTAGCCCAGCGGAAGCACCAGACTGGGCCACAGCAACGCGTGGTCGGGAACAGCTAGTAAATATATAAATTTGTTTTTGTGCATGTCTCTTTTCTTTGTCTTTGTCTTTTTGTCAGTCAGCCCTTCAGTTTATTAGAGATTAGGAAAGCTACATCATATAAATCAGTGCTACTTTTATCTGACCTTGTCTTGGTAATGGTCTCTCAATGCCACTACCTCTGCCTTCTACACTATCTCTCTTTGGATATTGAGAAAGCATTGTAAAAGCAAAGCAATTTCAATGTATTTTTATTCACATACTGATCGGTTTCATTCATTATGCTAAATCAGGATTCTAGCGTACCATTAGTATGCTGATGACACTCAGCTGTACATCTCCACCCCGGACCACCCCAATGATGCCCTTGACGTGATGTCCCGGTGTCTGGAGGCCGTACAGATCTGGATGGGGAGAAACAGTCTCAAGCTCAACCCATCCAAGACCGAGTGGCCGTGGCTTCCGGCGTCCCGATACAGTCAGTTGGTGCCATCTCTGACTATTGGGGGCGAGTCGTTGGCCCCCACAGAGAGGGCTCACAACTTGGGTGTCCTCCTGGATGCATGGCTGTCTTTAGAAGAGCATGTGACGGCCGTGGCCAGGGAGGCTTTTTATCAGGTTCGCCTGATTCGCTAGTTGTGTCCCTTTCTGGATCGGGACTCCTTACGCACGGTCACTCATGCCCTCATCACTTCCCGCCTGGACTACTGCAATGCTCTCTACATGGGGCTCCCCTTGAAGAGCACCCAGAGGCTCCAACTGGTCCAGAATGCGGCCACATGGGTGATTATGGGAGCGTGATGGCGCTCCCATGTAACATCTCTCCTGCATGAGCTGTACTGGCTCCCGGTGGTCCTCCGGGTGCGATTCAAGGTATTGGTGACCACCTTTAGAGCGCTCCATGGCTTAGGGCCGGGATATTTACGGGACCGCCTTCTGCCACCGAGAGCCTCCCACCGGCCAGTACGCTCCCACAGAGAGGGGCTCCTCCGGGTGCCATTGGCCAAACAATGCCGACTGGCGGCCCCCAAGGAGAGAGCTTTCTCTGTGGGAGCACCTGCCCTCTGGAACGAGCTTCCCCCGGAGATACGGACGATTCCGGAGTTACGTACTCCATTGGGCCCTCAAAACCTTTTTATTTCATCAAGTCGGGCTGGCCTAATCTCTCCAATTGTGTATTTAATTTGGATTTTTAATGGGGGATTTTAACTGTCGGGCCAAATAGTTTAATTCATTTTTAAATTGTTTTTATATTTTGTATTTGATGTTTTTACTTCTGGATGTTCACTGCCCTGAGTCCTTCGGGAGAAGGGTGTTATATAAATTTAAATATTAAGTTAAATTAAATTAGATTAGATTGTCCTAATTTTGATTTCTGTCATTGAAGTGGCAAATCTATCCTAGCCACTTCTAGATTATCTGCAAAGATGAGAAACATTTCCTCCCTCCAATTGTTTACCAAATCGAAGGGTCCAGAACCCTCCAATCAACAAGAATGAACTCAACAAGAATAAAATGGTATACGGTTTCCTGCCTAAGCAGGGGGTTGGACTAGAAAACCTCCAAGGTCCTTTCCAACTCTGTTGTTCTGTTCTGTTCTGTTCTGTTCTGTTCTATTCTATTCTCCAATTTGGTGGTGTCCCATACACACCATGTCCATCAGAAGATTGCCTCACAACACATCAGGAAAATCTTTCCATTCCTTTGCAAGATTCACACATGTTTAGTTCCCAGGTATATGAAGTATGTATGTATGCATGCCTTCATGCATGTAATGTAATGTAATGTAATGTAACGTAACGTAACGTTATGTATGTATGTATGTATGTATGTATGTATGTATGTGTGTATGTATGTACAGTTTGGCTTAACTTGGATGTAGGATTTCTCTCATTTACTGTGAGAGTAACAAAGAAGAACAGATGTTTTTGGCTATGAGAT